TTGCGAGAATTTTTTTTTTAAAGAGATTTGACGAAGTCCTACTTGCGTTACTAATGAGTAATCAATAGATCGCAAGGTGGCTACTTGATTGAGCGGGTCCTCCGAATGAGAGGTCCGTTCCGATACCAAACTGTTGCATACTGTAACGTGCAGACCAGAACAAGAACCGACCTTTCAATACAAAGTATAAGATAGCACAACGGAAGACTTAGATACCAATGATCCGAACAATCAATAGTGCAATGCAACCCTGAACATACATCATCATCATCGTCACATGGTGTGAATGGGGTCTGGCGCTTCAAACAAGAAGATTGCGCCAGCCCATACCATACACAGACGAAGAGGAAGGGGATAGACGAAGAGGAGGGGGAAGATGGGAATGTCGTCAACACCAAGTCTTCGACACAAGCCCAAATAGTCCCTCGTCGAAATGTCTGAATCCCAAATGTCAAGTCTGGATCCAATGTCGTCAAGTGTCAAGTCACAACTCTGTCTCTCTGTCGTAGTCTGAGAAGTCAAGTGGCGAGAGGGTGAGAAGAGATGGTGGACTTAGAAGAGGAAGAAGAAGAACTCGCTCTCTCTCTGTGTCCAGTACTAACCTGTGAAGTTGGCGCCTTGATGAAGGTATCACGAAGATGGAGCTGGAGCGATGGCGCCACAGGTAAGTADCACTGGCCTCCGCCAGTCTCTCTCCCACTCTACAATCTACCACCTACCAGCGCCCAGCGCTGAAGACTACAACTACAACTATGGCGCCCAGCGCCGAAGTCTATAGCTAGCGCTCATACTACTAGCGCTGAAGACTACTGCAGTGCTCCTCCTGAGTGTTGTGGCCGAAATCTTGAAGACTACCTCGTGCCTACTGAACTACCTACCCGTGAAGTGGCAGGGAAGTCCTATGTACTACCACGGGTGTGCCTCCTGGGCCGTGCGAGCAGTTCAGGAGGCTGCTCTTGCCAATGCCGAAAGGAGGCAGGGGCTGCAGCTGCAGCTCCTGCTCGAGCTGGCGTGGGAACAGGCCAGAAATAGCCTATTCCGAAACGCAGTTTTCGTGCCGGAGTCTTAGGGCAGGTCGAAACAAATGAGGGCCTGAAAATGGCCCTCCGTTTCAGGCTGGAAAAACTCTGGGTCTGAAAGACCCAGAAATAGGCTGAAACGGAGTAGGGCCTGCAGGCCCTCGTTTTTCAGCTTTCAGGCTGAAACGACCGGGGCCTGTAAGCCCTAAGTTTTAGGCTTTTAGGCTGAGAATGCGGGACGGGCCCTGCAGGGCCCGTGTGGCTACGCAGTATGCCACAGTATGTCTGGACCTGGCGCTTTCTTCCTGTGTACAGCGCCAGGCTCCTTCACACTTGGTGATGGGTACGATGCATGTTTAGTCTGAGTTCAAACATTGATTGGACTAGTTATTAGTCTTCTTGCATTCTGCTTCGCCACTTAGTACCTACGTGAGTGAGGTCAGTCCCTGTCAGTCTTTGTATCTAAGTCTTCCCTGCGTTTTTCAACACCTTTTGTATGTATGGGAATGCACATTGTTTGTCGAGATTCTACTCGCACTACATTGTCCATTCAGTCCTTTTCATCACATTGCAGTTCCTCGGTTCTTACGAACATCACATATATGTGCATGCAATAGTTGGTATCGGAGCTTTGCACGTGAATCAAGACAACCTGATATGACACGTGTGCGGGGACTAATTAGCTAGTTAGTCTTTATTGATTGATTAGAACACAATAGTTAGACCCCAAAATCACGATTTTGACCTTACTACCGAAAATTGATTTTTTTTTTTTTCTTGGATTTTATTTTCTCGCTATTCTGCTGTGGAAAATTGCAATATCGCAACATTTGAAATTCCCATTTTCGTTTTTTTTCAGAAAATTAGAAATTTCACCGTTGAAAATCCAGAATATTTTTCTTTTCAAAAATTCCGATTTCCTGTTGCATTCCCCGTTACTTAGAAATTCGGAATATTTTCTTTTCTAAAATTCGTTTTTCTGAAAACGGTACGGGAAATACCTCCTACGGTATTATTCTTCAAACTGCGAATTTTCTCATCGGATTAAATCCGAATACTTGTCATTTCTGTTCGGAATTTTTATTTCGCAGTCCTGGGATTCTGTCGTTCAGTCTATAAATCATCGGCAGTCTAAAGTCGAAATTTTTTTTCTCTTTTAGTGACCATTTCGCACTTCAAGGGAGGTTGGGGGACCTACCGAACTTGCAAAAATCGGGATTTTTATTTTTCTCGATTTTTTTTTGCAAAGTTCGAACTTTTCTGTTTTGATTAGTGACTCCTTATCTAAGTGTGAGTTGGGCGATTATACCACCTACCCCTCCCCACCTATGTTGTTGCCATCTCTCGCCTTTCCGTTTCTGTTTGTATCCGGGTACCCCCTGCGGAGGCATTGGTGAGTGACAACGTCAGCAGGCCACGTCAGCAGACTACGTCAGTACGTCAGCAGGCCACATCAGCAGGCTACGTCAGCAGGCCACGTCAGCAGGACACGTCAGCTGTGCCACGTCAGCAGCAAGGGATACCACATCAACAGGCCCCCGCTCCGGTCTATGTTGTTGCGATCTCAAACAACAGTCATGGACCAGAGGTCCGGGGAAGCAGACGAGGCCTATCAGGCCCGCATGCTGGCCTGGAGTACCGAGACAAAGAAACGGGCAGATGACGTTGCAGCAGCAGCGAAGAAGAAGGCAGAAGATGCCGAGCAGGCACGTCTGCTGGCACTTGAACAGCAGCGCCAGCATGACGAGGCAGCAGCAAGAGCTGCCGATGAAGAAAGAACMCAGCGTCGTGAGAAGATATTTACCAGAGAGCGGCCATTACTTACCATGGCAGCGGAATGGCGGACCGAGGCCGAGAATAGTCAGTTGGAGGATAGCGCAAACAAGATAGCTCTCCTCCCCTCGCATCTCACGGATCTTCTGGCAACCTGCATTACACAGCAGGTGGAGATCCTTGGTCTCGACAGCTCGTTGGCTCACGTCCAAGACCGCCTTCAGCGGTTGGAGCAGCGACCAGTTGCCGCAGCCGACGCAAGCTCTTCCAATACTGCCGACCGCCTCAATGCATCGGAGATGCACGTCGGCTCCCTCCAGGACGGCGCACAGTTACAACACACAGCGGGTCTGTACCACCGCCAATACCTCGAGTACGAAGCCGCGCGAGACAACTCCAAAGTTTGACGGGCAGGAGATCTTCTGCGACTCAATGAAGACAGATCCGATTCCATGGTTCCGCAAGTTCGAGCTCACGCTGCAGCTGTCCAACGTCAAAGAACACAAGCTTGCCAGGCTTGGTTGGACAACCTATTGTCCAAGTACGGAGTAGTGGCAGCCGACTTGCACACCAAGATCAGTTGGGATGATCTGAAGGCGGCGTGGCACAAGCGGTTCCAGGTGGAGCCGCCAGAGATCAAGGCCATGGACAAGCTCATGGTCTTCGAACAAGGCACGCTGCCGAGTACGGACTGGATCGCCTAGTACCAACGCTTGACGTCAGTCCCAGACATCCAGATGGGCTTCAAGGCCATCCGCCATTACTTCATCTCAAGGTCATGTCCGGCATTAAGCAATGCCGTGACTCATGTCGAGGACACCTTGACGACGACGGCGGAGTTGTTCGACAAGGCTGCGCAGATCATTATCACGAATAAGGAGGCCAAGAACCTCCGTTCATCTGCGTCAGGCCCGAGCAGGGACCAGCATCGGCCAAGAGTGGCCGTGGTCGCAGTGGCAGCGCCATTGGACCAAATCAGCGAGGCTGTGTCTGCCAGTGAATGGGACAGATTCGCAGCCGCCCGGGAAGGTGGCCGCCCCGGCAGAGGCCGAGGACGCGGCAAGACGAAGACACACACCGCATCTAGCCCCGGGCCCGGTGCAGCAGCTCAGACACGCCCATGGACCCAATTTGGCATCTCCGAGTCCGCATTCAAGGCGCGCGAGAGATTCCACTATTGCCTTTGGTGCAACAGCGATCTTCATCAGACGCAAGGTTGCCCATTGAAAGGCAAGGGTAGACAGGGAAACCGAGCACCGCCGAGAGTGACTCGACGACACTCTCGACGCCTTCGGAACCGGTTTCTTCGCGAGTAACCGACCTTCATTCCGAGGCGCACGCGGAAGTCGATAGTCCTCCTCTTCTACTCTCTTTTGAGGACTATGCTACCCGGCTCGTTCCTACGCTGGGTACTCAAGCTCAAGGACAAGGAGTGTGCGCGGTTTCTTCTCCGTCCGGCAACGGCCACATATCGTCTTCAAGTGGTTCATCACAGGATTCGGCGCGCGAGTTCAACATAGAGGCATTGGACCCGCTYACGTCTGAGGACTTTGCATGGCTTCCTCTCCCGACCACAGGCCGCTTACCGGGACCGCAATGCGCAGCACTTAGCGTCAATCTTCACACTTACTTATCCTTCTATGCACCACCAACTTCGCCGACGGATGACGAAGTCGCGGTGGGGGACATCCTGGCGTATACTACCGAGGTGGCCCGCGAGTTTCGCACGCAGCGGGTACGATGACAACAACGCACCGCTCATGTATGTCCGCATTCAGGTTGGGCAAGCGTCCTGCAGCGCTTTGCTGGATAGCGGCGCGTCTCGCAACTTCATGAGCCAATCCTTTATGCAAAGGGCTGGCCTTGGCACACAAGTTCGGAGGAAGGCAAACCCGACGGCGATCAAGTTGGCGGATGGAAAGACGTAACAACTTCTCGACCGTTACATCGAGGCCGTACCGGTGTACTTCGCACCTCATGCATGCGAACCGGTGACATTCAATATTCTCGACACGGACTTCGACATCATTCTGGGAATGCCTTGGCTTGCAAGTGCGGATCACACGGTCAACTTCCATCGACAGACTCTTAGCGATCGCGACGCCTTCAGCGCGGAAGTGGCGTGTACTATTCCTCTACCGCACTCTTCGATCCGGTGCCAAGTGGTGACGGCCAAATCATTCCGGGCGACTTGCGCTTACGAGCAGCCCGAGCAGATCAGCCTATGTTTCCTACGGACCGTCGCGGTAGCCGACTCTTCACCCACTGACTTGTCTTCGGACCCCCGTGTGGTGCGGTTGCTGGACGAGTTCGCCGACATCTTCAAGTCACCTACCGGTGTGGTGCCGGATCGGCCGATCTCTCACGAGATCATTCTTGAGGCCGGTGCCGTGCCGCCGAAAGGTTGCATCTATCGGATGAGCGAGGAGGAGCTTGAGGTCCTCGCGCACAACTCGACGATTTGTTGGCCAAGGGTTGGATCCGCCCAAGCAGCTCCCGATATGGAGCACCAGTTCTCTTCGTCAGGAAGAAGAACAAGGATCTATGATTGTGTATCGACTATCGCAAACTCAACGTGCAAACCGTCAAGAATGCGGGGCCTCTTCCTCGCATCGACGATCTTCTTGAACGACGAGGCGGCGCAAAGTATTTTTCAAAGTTGGATTTGAAATCGGGATATCATCAAATCCCGATCCAGCCGAACGATCGCTACAAGACCGCATTCAAGAAGCGGTACAGACATTTTGAGTGGGTGGTCATGCCTTTTGGCCTCACCAATGCCCCGACGACCTTTCAGGCGGCGATGACCAATGAGTTCCGTGCAATGTTGGACCGGTTCGTGCTGGTCTACTTAGACGATATTCTCGTCTATAGCCGGTCATTGGAGGATCATCTTGGGCATCTTCGACGAGTGTTGGAGACGCCCCGCCGCGCCAAGTACAAGGCCAACCTCGACAAAGGTGAATTTGTCCGGCAAGAGCTGGAATACTTGGGCCATTTTGTCATACCGGAGGGCAGCAGTCCGCTATTGGACAAGATCCATGCCGTTCAGGAGTGGCCGGAGCCTCGGAACGTCACAGATGTCCGCTCGTTCCTCGGTCTTACCGGCTACTATCAGCGCTTCATCAAAGGCTACTCGAAGATCGCGGCCCACTTGAACAAGCTTCAGTGCGAGGATCGGCCGTTTGACTTCGGAGAGGAGGCGCGAGGATCATTCTTCGCTCTCAAAGCCGCGCTATTGTCTGCGGAGGTCTTGCGGATATATGACCCGCTCGCGCCTACACGTGTCACTACGGATGCGTCAGGCTATGGCATTGGTGCAGTCCTCGAGCAACATGATGGTGTGGACTGGCACCCGGTCGAGTTCTTCAGCAAGAAAGTGCCCCTCGTGCATTCCATTGAGGATGCACGCAAGAAGGAGCTCCTCGCCTTCGTCCACGCGCTCAAGCGGTGGCGGCACTTCCTCCTTGGTCGAAGCCAATTTCGTTGGGTAATGGACACCAATCCGTTGGTCTTCTACAAGACCCAAGACACCGTCAACAGCACCATCGCTTGATGGATGACTTTCATCAACAAGTTCGACTTCTTTCCCGATCACATTCCCGGGAAGTCGAACCGTTTTGCGGATGCTCTTTCACGGCGTCCAAATCATTGTACCACGGTCTACTCAACCTTCGAGATCAACGACGACCTGCGGAACAACTTCATCCACAGCTACCAAGCCGACCCCGAGTTTCGCGACAAGTACGCGAATTGCTCCTCTCCTAATCTGGCTCCTTCTCACTACCGGATCCAAGAGGGGTACTTGCTTGTCCACACGCGGGGGAAGTACCTTCTTTGCATACCGAGTGATCCTCACTTGCGTACACGGCTTCTTGGCGAGTTCCACAATGCTCCTGCTACTGGACACTTCGGAGTCAATCGCACAATTGGCCGACTTCGCCAGCGATTTTGGTGGCCCGACCTTCTCAGCGACGTCACACGCTATTGTGAGTCATGCGAGGTTTGCCGATGCTGCAAATCCCGCAACCATCGTCCGTACGGCGAGTAACGACCATTGCCAGTCCCGTTGCGGCGAAGGGAAGCGATTGCTATGGACATTACCGGCCCGTTCCCCAAGCACAAGACCGGAGTGGATGGGATTCTCACGGTGGTCGATCGACTCACCAAGTTCGCCATGTTTTTGCCTTGTCGCTATCATGCCAAGGCACCGGAGTTGGCCGAGGTTCTGTACGCCGGTTGGATTCGAACCAAGGGTTACCCCAAGGAGATCGTTTGCGACCGCGACACTCGGTTCATGTTAGATTTTTGGTTGGCGCTCATCAAGCGATGGGGCTCATCTTTCAAGCCCAATTCAGCTCGCCACCCTCAGACCGATGGCCAGACGGAGAGGACGCATCAAACCGCACAGGTTCTCCTTCGCACTCTCATCCGGCCTGACCAGAAAGACTGGGTTGACCGACTGCCGGACGTCGAGGTGGTCTACAACTCTTCCATCCACCCGGCTATTGGGATATCGCCCTTCTTTTCGAGCATGGCTCGCCGGTCACATCACCGTTGGACACTATTACTCCACGCACGGCCGAGAGCGACGACCATCGTCTTGTCTTGCGTCGGATGCAAGAGCTTCTTGTCAAGGCACGTGACCAGATGGCTAAGACGCAGCAGCGCATGAGCCAGTAGGCCAATCGCCAGCGTCTTCCTTGTCCATTCCGCGCCGGGGACCTCGTCTCGGTTTCCACTGCGAAATTCAGCCTTGAACAAGACGTTTCTCGCAAGCTCCTTCCGACATGGATGGGTCCTTGGCCGATTTTAGAGCCCGCTGGGGACGCACCCGAAGGACCCTCCTTCACGATTTAGGTGCCTAGCCACTTGCCCGTCTACCCAGTCTTTCATTCCTCCAAATAAGCTCTCTACACGCCAACGGGCCATGACGATTTTCCCGAGGGACGTACGCAAGACCCGCCTTCTATGGATGGTTTTCAGGAGGTCAAAGACATCATCTCCCAGCGACGCAATGACAACAAGCCAACTGAGTATTTGGTGCATTTTGCATACTGCACACACCGAGCTGACCGATGGTTAACCCGTGCGGAACTTCAAGCAACAGCTCCAGACGTTCTCGCACGCTACGAACGCAAGATCTAAGGCAAGCCGGTTTCTTCGGCTCCACGCCGCGCCTGCGTCCAGGTTCCACCTTCAGATCGACGGCTTCGCCCTCGCCCCGGCCTGACTTCATAAGGAGGGGGGGGTGTTACATGCTGCGCGCGCACACGCAGGCCATTTTGCAGGCCTGCGTCCTTCAGGCCGAAAGCCTGAATTTCAGGCCGAAATCCTGAAATCCAGGGCCTATCCCTGTGTCGTTTCAGATTAAAAATGGCAACAGCCTTTTTAGCCTGAAACGAAGGGCCATTTTCGGTCGTTCATCAGAACGACTGGCCCTGAAACTCAGGCACCAAACCAGGGTTTCGGGAACAGACTATTATTAGTCTGTTTCCCACGCCAGCCTCAGCAGGCTGCTGCACGCCAGCCCCTGGCACACTTCGGCATTGGCAAGAGCTGCCTCCTCGGCCTGACTCGCCCTCCAGTAGTCAGGAGGCAGGCCGAGGTAGTACATAGGACTTCCCAGGCACTTCCGAGGTGGGCAGTCGGCAGTTGTAGTCTTCAGGATTCGGGAGCAGCACTCTGGGGAGAGTGCTGCAGTGTAGTAGTAGTAGCGTTAGCTTGTAGTCTTC